TTATCAGAAACAACTCCAGTATTAGGGATGCACCGATACCACTTTTTTAAGACTGAGTACGAGTACCGATACTTTTGATCAAGTACTCGCAGATACCAATTACCGATACTTTTTCTTAAAGGGACAGGTCAAATTTTTTCTAAAGCAATACAAACGAATGCTTTAAGGTCACTTTCTTAATATTATGATGCGTGAGATGACGAGGGAGCATGACGCCGGCTTCCCGGCCAATCAGAATGCCGGGCGCTGCGTCATTACAAGGCGCCCGGCTTCCGGATTTGCTAGCTTCCTGACCAATCGGGAAGCCGGGCAGCGCGTCATTGCACGCTACCCGGCTTCCTGATTGGCCGGGAAGTCGGCTCCATGCTCTCTCATCACAAGTGACGAGAGAGCATGGAGCCGTTTCCTGGCCAATCAGGAAACCGGGCAGCGTGTAATGATGCGCAGCCCGGATTCCTGATACAGGAAGTACTCGTGCTAGGTATCGGAGCATTTGGGCGAGTACGAGTGCTCACCCAAATACTCGGTATCGGTGCATCCCTATCCAGTATATATTGCTGTTACAATGCTGATGTTATAACAGGAGAGGATCTGCTGGGACTTTACAACTCCTTTAACATCTCCACTAACTGCCCCCCTGAGAGCTCCTGACCGCTTACCCAGCAGCTTCTCGATTTACACTAGATCTCTTCGTGCAGTACAATGTTGGTGTCTTCACAATCAATGGACAGGCATGTGCTTTGCACTGGGGGTGTGATAGGACTGTGTCTGACTTTTCCAAAGAGTCAACACTCCCATAGGACTGCTGGGGGCTTGTTGGGGTACTTAAAGGGCAATGACAGGGATCTCCGGGCATGGGATGACGCCTCCTAAGTTAGTTTTAAATGTCCCAAAATACAGATATTCGTATGTTTTATAAAACGGACAAAGCACCAGAAACATTCACATGCAGTGAATGATTGGTGAATGCCACATTTACTGCTTTATAAATATGGCCCCCCTCTGCTGTGGTTGACCCTCTCTATGGTGACCGAGCAACTTAACCCTTTATAGCGACTGTCAAAAAGTGTTTACATTGTATCATATTCATTTCCACGTGAAGTATGACGGAGGAAATATTCGATGTCTCGACCACGCCGTCTGATTCACTTCTGGGAATAAAATGGAAGCTTGTACTTGTCAGGATTTTCCTGCTCTGCTTCATGTCACACTTGATTGGCTCCTCTGGAATAAATACCACTTTAATTCTATGAATCATCAAGGCACCTTTTTTTTGTGTGTGGTAATTTTGCTCTCGTTTCTTCTTTCGAGTTAGTAAATCCTCCGACGTTTTACCTTTGTCAGTTTCAATTCCCTTCCATTTCATATCTCAGATCCTTTAAGCTGACATTGAAACTCATTAATGTTGTTATGGGTTTGCCGGGAATAATCGGCTGGGGTTTTTTTTTTTCATTGAACATGCGCTGACACTTGTCAGCCACAAGAGGGAGCCACGGAGAGATTAGAAATGCTGCACGATCATCGGAACTCACTTAGCTTTCATCAAACAAATGTATTTAAAAAATTATAATGTTTATATAGCAGTGGTGACAACTTTAAAGGTACAGTACACAATAAAGTCCATCTAAAGCCCCTAGATTTTTCCTCTAAAAGTGATAAATAGGAATTTTCAATGCAAGTTGGCTCATTGAATGTCTTAATAGATAATTAAGTAATTGACCTCTTTAAAAAATGGTAATTGGTGCTGAGAAGCTTGATTTATTGTGCATGCTGCTTGACATTGTTGGGGTGGGGGGGCGATTGGGAGGCAATGAGCACGGCATGCATGCCATTGTTTTAGGACGTGCAATTTCCTGCTGATGCAGCAATGTGCTATCAATTTTAAAGGATGTATCTGTAGGTGGAGCTACGGTAAGTGTGGCTATATAACTACAGCTACAGTGGCAGCAAGGGTGGCAACACTGCATGAGCAGGAGTGTTGTCACACTATAAAATGAAGTGCTTGTCCAATGGTTCTATTAGCAGAATCAAGTAGGCAACCTCAGCACTCTAGCTGTGGTGGAACTCCAAATCTCACTATGTCTCTGCCTGCGGGAGTCATGCCTATGGCTGTCAGAGTCTTGCAGTCCTCACAGGACTTGTCGTTCCTCAACAGCTAGAGTTGCCAGGTTGGCTAACCCTGTTATAGTCTACATGGTTTCACTGTGATATATATTCTGTATAATGTCTATAAACATTTGGACGTATGTAGCTATTTGGCAAGTAAATATATTGCAAAAATACTTCATCGTATTGTAGTCCAAAAACCATTTGGTTGTTCTTCTGCTTCAGTTTATTAAACGTCCCTTGGAAAGTGTAGCAGGTGGGGGGGAGATCTGCATTATGAGGGGATAATAGGTTCAATCAGGTTTGGCAGGCAGACGTTCAGCTCATTTATTCACCGCGTCGTTCTCCCATGTAAACGTCTGTGAATGGTCATCGGCTCCGCTCATCCCCATTGTATACAGCTGTGCTTCCCCGGCTCTCTAATATCCTATTCGGAGCAGTCGCCGGGGCCGGAGCTGTTTCATATGGGGAAGCTGTAATCACATTCAGTTCCCGGGGCAGCTGCATCCTATCTAAGAAAATGTACATTTACAGTATTGAGAGACCAAATTCAATTCATTATTCTCATTTATTGAGAGAACATTCAATTACAAAGCAAAGAGACAGAGAATTCTTCATGAATTCCGTTCTTTCTTCTGTGCAAAGACTCCCGTGTCTGTGTATCTTATTACAATCCTGTAGATCAAATGTAGCACGCTTGATATATAAATTCCTTGCGGTTTGTATACCCCGCGGCCGCTGCGACTAGGTAAGAATCATTTGTGACAGCAGATGAGGGAGGAGAGATCGAGTGTCTCGTACTACTAATATCTCCTGGCGTTTTCCCAAAGCAACCTCATCAGCCCGTCAGTAGAACTCGAAGTCCCTTCAACCCACTACTTTTCCTCTTATGAGACCCACCATGGCCTCATGCTTTCTGACCATTAGGTTTAGATTTTCCCATTACAAATATTCCTGGCATCTGTGGTGTTATTTCAGGCACGTGAGGCACAATATCTAAATGGTGCAACAATCAACTCAAAATTGCAATTTTCTTTTTAATCCGCCGTGTCATTGGTGTGCGTGAGTTATTAGAGGTCATTTGTCAATGTTCACCAAACTCTGAGCGGGTCAATCATTGACTTAACAATCCTATTCTGATTTCAGAGAACATTGATACATTGTAACACTGATGAGGGTTAGTGGCATCAGATTACATGGAGCCTGTTAATTCCGAGTCTTCCTCTGTTAGGGCTCATGCACACTAGATGCAGTGCGTTCCGGCCCGACTTTGGCCGGAACGCACTGCCTCGCATTGCTCACTTTTTAGTGGGGCGTGGCGGGCCATTCAAATGAATGGTGCCGTAGCCACGCCCTCTGGCCGCACGGGATCGCAAGGCACATTGTGCCTGCGGTCCGAACCTGTGCGTTGCGATCAAAATGCTACAAGCACTATTTTGATAGCACCGCACAGGATCGGACCGCAGGCACAATGTGCCTTGCGATCCCGTGCGGCCAGAGGGCGTGGCTACGGCACCATTCATTTGAATGGCCCGTCACGCCCCCTCCTGCCCCACTAAAAAGTGAGCCGGCCGCAATGCCAAAATCGGTCCGGAACGCACTGCATCTAGTGTGAATGAGCCCTTAGTGGAGGATGAGAGATAGATCTCGCCATGAACAATGATGACCTATCATTCCGCAATGATGACCACAGATCAACCATAACATTATGACCATTGACATGTGAAGTGAATAACATTATCTCATTACAATGGCACCTGGAAGTGGAGGGGATATATTAGGCAACAAGTTTACATTTTGTGCCTGAAGTTGATGTGTGATGTTGATTTGAGTACCTGAAGCTCTTGGATGTTCCCGGTCTGCATTGGTCAAGACCTTCCAAAAGTGGCTCAAGAAAGGAAAACTGCTGAACCAGCGACAGGGCCATGGGTGGCTAAGGCTAATTGATGCAGGTGGGGAGTGGAAGGTGTCTGAACATACAGAGCATCGCAGTTTGTTGCTTGTGGGGCTGCGTAGCCACAGTCTGGTCTGGGTGCCCATGCTGACTACAATGGGCATGTGAGCATCAGAACTGGACCATGGAGCACTGGAAGAAGGTGGCCTGGTCTGATGAATCACGTTTTTTTTTTCCATCATGTAGATGGCCGGGTGTGTTTGTGTCACTTACCTGGGGAAGAGATGGCACCAGGATGTACTATGGGAAGAAGACAAGCCAGAGGAGGCAGTGTGAAGCTTCGGGCAATATTCTGCTTGTGTCCGCTTGGTGCCGGATACCACAGCACACCTCCAGGGGTCTAGGGGTGTCTATACCTGGACGGGTCAGGAATAGAGGGACCTACTCCATATTAGGCGAGTGGTCATACTGCTATGGCTGAGCAGTGTATAGGCTCCTGTTACTGATCCCCCAATCTCAGAAATACTAGTTTCCTGTCCTTTCTTGCTACTTTAGAAGTTTCAGTATTTTCTGAATGATGTACTCAGAACATGTATGCAGATCAGGAGCTCTGACTTCACTTTGTTTTTAAATGCTTCATAAAAAAAAATATACATATATATATCATTTCCCACCCTCGGCTTATATTCGGGTCAATACCTTTTCCCAGTTTTTTGTGGTAAAATTAGGTACCTCGGCTTATATTCGGGACGGCTTATACTCGAGTATATACGGTATATATTACATCTAAAAACGGCCTTTCTGGGTAAGAAACTGCAACAGATTTAGAAAATAGATTAAGAAAACTGTACGCAGCGAGACTTTATGCCAATACTGGAGAACAGATTTTGGGTTCACATACAATTTATATTGTTCTTGGGTTTGTGTTACTCTGTGTTGTTTTTTACACTCGGGTTTGAGGAACGATGGACTTATGAGTTGTCTCTAACTTCCCTTTCAGAGGATTACCCCAACGGCACGTGGCTGGGTGACGAGAACAACCCCGAGATGCGAGTGAGAAGTCCAGTCACAGCGGCCGACATGCTGCACATCAGCACCAACTGCCGGACAGCAGAGAAGATGGCCCTTACTCTGCTCGATTACCTCTTCCACCGCGAGGTGCAGGCCGTCTCTAACCTGTCAGGACAAGGCAAGCACGGCAAGAAGCAGCTGGATCCGTTAATGATCTACGGCATAAGATGTAAGTCAGATAATGTACAATGCTTAAAGGGCAACCTTACCCAATAGAATGGTTCCCAATAGTCATCGCCGCTATGATGGAGTTTCTCTCTTCTTATTGGGTGTTTAATTTTCTTGTTATTGCTTAAAATTCATAAAGAATGAAGACTCCGCCCCCAGGAGCAGAGAGGTTTTTATTGGGTGATCTCACGCATGTCACACAACTGGCTAACAGTGATTTATTTATTCTACAGTTTCAGAAAGTTGATATTTACATAAATGATATCAGGGCTAAATGAGCAGCGTTCAAGAATGCCGGAAATAAAAGTTTGCACCTTATAACGCCCGCTATACACATCGGCTGTTACTTAAAGCTTAACACCAGGCAAATATAAAATAATGCAGCTCTGTAACCATGGATACATCATTCAACTTATTGTTGAATAAGTTGAAGGACAGCCTCTCGCAGTCCTTTTACAGCAGGACTTAAAAGAGAACTATGGGGTAAGTGTTTTTCCCCATAGTTCTCTTTAGGGTCACGGGAGGACATATACTAACCTCCTCCCGTGACCCAAAGCTCAGTATATACTGAGAGCGCCGCAGCAGGGACGGATCCCGGCATTACAGTTGAGATCCACCCAGCTGCGCAAGTGACAGCGGGCTCTGCCTATCTAGTGATGGGAAGGTTTAGCGATGCATGCATGAGAGTTGCATCATCATAGGCCTTCTGTTGCCTGTCCTTTCACAGGCTTGCAGTTGCTCTTATCACCTTGCTGCTGTGGGTCTGCTCCTACCTGTGGTTCTATTAGCATGTGCTCTGCTCTTGCTGCACAGCGTTAGCAGCTATGGGTGTTACCCACCTCACCTCATGCTTAATATACCTTGTTTCTCGGTTACTTCCTATCCAGCCTCCTATCTCTCACCTTTTTTAAATCCTGCTCAGACAAGCTCCCTTTGCTTGAGCAACACTCCTGTTGCCTCTGAGCACCCATTTGTGCCTTTGCTCCTGACCTGCTTTCTCCTGGTTTCACCCTTTGCCAGCGCGAACTGGAACACAGCCACGTTCTCCGTCCCTTGTGTCTACGGGCACTCTCCACATGTGAGCAGGGTGAACCCAGGGGTTGCAACCTGGGGTCAGCAAAGTCCAAACGCCCGTGAGGGAGTCACTGGCGGAATACCTGCTGGCCCTCAGGCCCCCCGCCTTGGGGGATCCCATGCCACCTACTTGCTTGTGAGCTCACAACCTTAGAACCGTGACACTTTCCTATTGATGAAGGAGAAGATACAAGCAGGCAAAAAAGCTACGACGAATATGGCGCTTCTGGTGGTAGGACGGCAATAGACCATGTAGCTCTGCATTGGGGTATCAGGTCAAACCAAAAGGGAAGGTGGCCATGTTGTTAGAAGCATGCTGTGCAAGTTCTCCTCCCCACATCCCTTGCTTCAGTTTTGCTTTAATATTTCTTTATACTATTGGTGAATTATGTGTTGTATTTTCATCTCGTATAATGCAGAAGGATAAAACACATTTTGGCATTGTGTAAAACTGAAGCATCTTGCACTCTATGGGCCGATGTCCATTTCCTAATAGATTCTGTGCGGTTTTTACACTGCTGCCCTTTTAGGCGCCCCCCCAAAAAAAATGTTAAGTATATACTTGGCTTTTAGATTTACTTTCGCCTTCAAAGGAACCATTTCGTGTCAAAGCGTTATCTTTATCATTCCAAACCATTTGGCGGTTGTCAAAGCCAGTAACTGCTCTGTATTAAAAGCGAACTTCAATTCTGTGCTGTGCAAACATGACGATGATAGATCGGGCTTAAGAGCCGGGTAATATTTAGCCGTGGCTTAAGATGACAGGTTCATGTCTTTTGTAAACCCCACCCAGTGATGTAACAGCGAAATCCACAATACATCACTGTGTTCCCATAGGCCGTATTTACTCCTCATGGAAGGGTCAGCGCGGGAAGAAGAGTCATTTCCAGCCCCTCAGATTTCTGCAGGTCATCCCTAGGATGCGTTGTTCCGTACCGGAGCACCCGCCTGTGTGGGAGTCAGCCCAGGTCAGGACGAGGCCGACCTCTCTGGGGCTTGCCCCTCGACTCTGTCTATTCTCAGCCTGAAGCTCTTGGGCTTTAAGTGGGCCGAAAACTGGAATGTGTCTGATGTGAGAAGAAGAGGTCCCGGCCTCCGTAGTATGACTAATCTTTTCCCACCCAAATTGAAGCACACTGTCCTATTCTGCTCAATGGGGGATCACTTAAAGGGGGCAAAGGTGCTTCCTGACTTATAAATAAGCCGTTCCTGTGTGTTTAATTTAAAGACGCAGCCCGACCCCCCCCCCACAGCTGTTTAGATACTGGATTCCCCTTCTCTCTCCATGTCATTATTCTAGCATACTGCACTATGGCTGCCGGTTCCAAATGTTTGTGTATACAGCGCAGGCAAACAACAGGAGACGGTGAAAACAAACAAATTGGATTCTGGCATAAAAAGTCCGTATACAATCAAGAAACGCTTTCCCTGATTCAGAACCCTACCTATAATGTGGGAAGGCTGCAAGGCCCTACAGTTCATTGTGTTCTTTGAGTGTCGTCTGACATAAATGCTAACAAAGCTAAGTGGAGCCTTTTGTTCTATGTTATGCCTTATTTTAGCTTTTAACGTGCCAGATGTTAGATGGAGGCCGAATTATTGTACACGTGTACATTTGCGTCAGGCAAGCTTGGGCGCTTGTGCTTGTGACTCGGGGAGATGGAAAGCATATCTGAACCCAAGAACAGAAATGTAACTAGTCCTTAGATGTGGTGGCTGAATGGATTTTTTTTTTCTCAGGCTTTTACCTTTTTATTTGCACTTGGTGACCCTGCCAGCAATACACTTCCTGTCCTAGGGTGACAACCCTCATTCACTTTATCATATCTATGGAGGAACGGTGTTGTCACCCTAGTACAGGACTATAGAATACCTTCCCTTTCCTCATCTCCATAACAATGGGGTAGAGATGTTGTGTCGTCCAGAGAGTTGGCTGGGAACAATATAACTGATAACGGTACAGCAGAGGCAGGCAGCCCAGAAAGTTATCAGCTCGCAGAGGCAGAAAGCCCAGAAAGTTATCAGCTCGTAGAGGCAGAAAGCCCAGAAAGTTATCAGCTCATAGAGGCAGAAAGCCCAGAAAGTTATCAGCTCGTAGAGGCAGAAAGCCCAGAAAGTTATCAGCTCGCAAGTTCTCTGACAGGATCTACAATTTTTGCACTTATCGAACGGATACAATAAAATACATTTTATGGTGAATTTTACTGGCCAAAAGAGACCAAATAAGAGAAGTTCATTCATAGGAATTGA